CACCATCTGTTGTCCCTCAAAACCTTGTACCATTCCGGACCCGGGACCTGGACCCGGACCCAGGAGGAGGCTCCAGACCTGGACCCGGACCCAGAAGGAGGCTCCAGACCCAGGAACCTGGACCCAGAGGAGGCTCAAGACCCAGACCCGAACCCAGGACCTGGACCCGGACCCAGGAGGAGGCTCCAGACCAAGACCCGGACCCAGAAGGAGGTTCCAGACCCGTTCCGGACCCGGGACCCGGCTCCAGACCCATGGGGAGGCTCAAGTCCCGTTACGGACTCAGGACCCGGACCCGGACCCAGAGTAGGCTCCAGACCCAGACCCAGGAGGAGGTTCCGGACCCGTTCCGGTCCCGGAACCCGGACCCAGGGGAGTCTCCCGACCTGGACCTGGACCCAGACCCAGAAGAAGGCTCCAGACCCGGACCCCTACCCAGAGGAGGCTAGGGTCCCGGACCCGGTCCCAGAAGGAGGTTCCAGACTCGGACCCGGTCCGAGAGGAGGCTGTAGTCCCGTTCCTGACCCATGGACCCGGAACCGGACCCAGGAAGAGACTCCGGTCCCGTTCTAGACCGGGAGCCGGACCCGGTCCCGGGCCGCTCGGAGCCCAGTCCGGCCCGCCCCGGGGCCGCGGGCCTCCGGGTCGGGGTCTGGGTCCGGGTCCTGGTCCGGGTCCGGTTCGGCTCACCTTGCTTTGCGTGCAGCCCATTCCTGCTTTGGGGGGTCCCGGTCCCGGTCCCGGTCCTGGTCTTGGTTCCGGTCCTGGTCCTGGATCTGGTTTTTTCTTCTGTTGACAACTTTCAAACTCCGTTTGAAAAAAAAAAACGCTGGACCCGGAGCCGGGGGGCGGGGCTTAGAGCTGCTGCCTTCAGGGACGCTCCGGAGACCCGGATGCTGCGCGTCACGTGGCTCAGAGCGGGAAACCCAACATCCGGGGAACTTCCGGGACGCTTCCGGTTGATTAAATAGAGCGAAGAGAGAAGAAACCTGATTTAAATCATCAAAAAGAGGGGAAAAAACACACAAAAACACATAAAAACTACACACAAAAAAACAAAAAAGTGGATAAAATACAGAGAAAAATCGAAAAAAATTTACTATAAAAGGGAAAAGACTTCCCTAAAATGAGAAAAATGACCAAAATAGCAAAGAAGTTACTACTAAAAAAACAGATAACAATAAACAATCAAAAATATGAACAAATATTTTAACTAAAGAAGCAATAAAAGTCACAATCAGCTGAAAATGACACACAAATTATGACAAAACTCCAAAGAACAGCAGAGAATTTATTATTTAGTGGAAAAAATGTAATACACAAGCAGGAAACCCAATAAGGATTCAGCATTTTTATTTTTAAGGCACAAAACATAGTTTTAAACCAAATGAATGTGTCATATCTTTGTTTTCCTAGTATAGATAGATAGATAGATAGCAGAAATTTACAGTTTAAATGTGAGATATTCTGATTTATTTTTATTTATTTGAGTAATTTATGAGATTCTTTCATTCATTTGTTGGATTATTTCATTTTATTGAGGAAAAACTGACACATTTTCATCCTTTTAGTCACATTTGAACCCTTTTTTTAACCCTCTTTTAGCCACCAAACTGGAATTGATGGTTTAATCTGAGCAAAACACAACAAACTGGCTGAACGGCTTCATGGAAAGCAGAGTTTTTCCTCACAGTGACCTCTGACCTTTGACCTTTGAAGCAGAAAACCCTGTTCAGACACATGAGGAGCCTCTAAATGCACCATTTTTCTGTTTTTCTCCTCCAGAATCAGCTCTGATTTTCATTAAATGAGTTTAAAACTCCTTAAAGTATCTCTTTCATAAGTTTCGTAAACAATCCCTGTAAAAATATGATCTGATTTTAAAATAAAACAATGACAACTTGATTGTTTTTCCATCAGAAAATTAGATTATTTGCTTGTCTCACATTTAAACTTGGAATTCCTGCTTTTCTCCTCCAGAAGCAGCTCTGGTTTACAGACAGAAGCAGAAACATGAGTTCAGGAGCAGAAACAGGTTAATTAAATACATTAAACTATTATGTCAGAGGTTTGTGATGATTCCTGTCATCTAACACAAATTATGGCAGAAAAACA